GCCATATTTCTCTCGGTTTGACGCTTTACAACTGTAAAGCTTGACGGACGCTTACAAAATTAGCTGTTCTTGATCCATTTTAAGTTACTGTCCTACAATAGCTATTTGTTATAATGCTGACATGTGTTTTGTGTTGTATGGAGTGTCGTTTATGATGGGAGCTGATAGGTATCCAGATTTATTAGGACTGCATATTCTTCTACCCAATTATATCTATATTGTTTCTTTCATGGCATCGCAGAAAAAGTGTAGAATGATCGGTTTTCGTTGATATTTCTGAACCTTGTCCTTTAAACTAGCAATAAAAGAGCGTAATCATTTTTAAAAGGCCGGCAACTCACCTGTGTTTTCTCTAGTATTTCGGGTGTCTATGGGCGGTGCTGATCGATTACCATAAGATGTTAAGTCTACTCCTTTGTCTCGCATTCCATAAAAAAATTACTTGGTCTTTCTGTCTTCACTACTTTAATTTGAGTATCTTTAGATGATTCAGTATTATCTATACTAGTCTTAAAGGATAGATTTTGTTTTGTATTATTTGTCCTACGTTTATTACACGTAATAGCCTAACAAATGAAGTACAATATTCATTGTTACTATTATAGTCATTCTATTATGTTTTAGACCTTGGTTTTTATTAAACATTTCAGTACGTAGCTTCAGTAGCAAGGGAACATGGAATATTTATGAATTCTCAATCATCAAGGTTATTTGGTTGTTTATTGTGTTTTTGTAAAGGTATTATTGAAGGATACTCCATATAAGATACATCTAACAAACATATAAAAGGTTTTGTTTATGTCTTCGCTAGAGTGGCTTAGTAGTACTATAACTTCAGCAATGATGTAATCTATGAAACATGAGTACAATTTAAATGATTAGACGAGTCATGATTTAGTAAACGTCAAATTGTCTACATTCAAAATCAGACAGTCAGCGCCTAGCATAGGCTCAAGAGTGGGTTTCAGAGTGATGAATAGCGTTATCCACCTCTATCAATCTCGTTGAGGCAGTGATTGAGGCGCGGCGCCTGCGCCGGTGGGAACTCTTAACATAGCAGTGATTAATTACCCAGTTGGACTTTTACTACGTAAGGCGGTGGTCGTCTTGTGGGCAGGAGATGTTCCAATATTTCCTAATCAATTATTGATTTTGAAGTGAAAGTGGCCCAAAGGCTTCTGTTGCGCTCTGGTTTTGTAATCTAGATATTCTTTGATTGGTTCAATTTATTTCTTCTTAACCAATTATCACTTTTTTATTATCAGAGTTACTCGTAAAATGTCTTTGGTATTTTTGCAATTTTAATTTAGTTTTGTAGTTATCTCATTTATTCTGTTTAATTGACCTCTAATTGATTGAGAAATTGGCAATCAAAAATATTCCAATTCCGTGATACGTTCTTGAATCGTCGTCGCCAATAGGATTCTGTATTCCCACAAAGTTCTTTAAATCTTTCTATATAACTATAAAGTATAAACAATTTCCTTTACATCGTATCCCTAGCTTCCGAACCGACAACCGACAACCTTCCCACCATAATTTCCATTATCAGAAACCCATTTTCAATCAATATCCAAGGGCTTGATAACAAGCTAACCAGCCATTACTTTCTCAATAGCTTCCTGAATAGAATATTAATATTTTAATAGCTTATAATTATGGTTTATACTATAGCTTCTCTCGTTAACTAGTTCACACTCCATAGTCTCCAGTTTCCTTGAGCCAAACATTGTTTGATAGGTAATTTGACGTAATTCTAAATTAATTAGAAATCGTTAATTTTCCAGTGGTTTAGATTGTGATCTAACGGGTTTGTTGTAGGGTTTTGCTGCTGTTATTAGGAAGCCCAATAATAGTAGATTCATTGCGTTCAATTTCTCGATAGTTTATTTGTTTCCTTAGTTTTTCAATCTTAATCACGAAGTATGAATTAATTTGCAATGGAATAATAAACAGCTGTCCAAATAAATCACGTACGGTTTACACCAACATCATTTATATCACTTACTGTATTTTTTCTTCTTTTGTAATTCATGGCCTGAAGTTTGCAGTGATAAGAATAAGCAACTGTTTTATTACAATTATTATGGCTAGATTAATAAACATGCTTAAAAAACATTCAAAACTCATGTTATGTTCGGAGGTAACGTAATCAGACGTGATCTTAGATTTCTTTTCCGCTGAACATGATACGCCTGGAAGTCAGACCAAACAATGTTCTTATCTAAAATATAAACCAAAACAATAATCTGAACCGTCAATCATATCAATTGATTGACTTTCAAGTTTCGACGTTCCCATATTAATCTGTCAAACACCAAGCGGTCACCGGTGACCGCGACCTATTGTTCTTTAATTGTGTCTATAAAACCGGTACTCGACGAGTTAAATTGAGGTAGCACTGACTAATACGGATATTAAAGTAACCATCAATTTAGTTGCATAAGTCCTTAAACTTCCTCCATGTTAACAGCTAGCTATTAAACATTTTAGTTAAAAGCTTTTGTTGCTACCACATCTGCATCGTCATAGATTTCATTGTTATTCTCTTTCGCATGTAATTGTTCATCTTTATTCACATTTGCATGTAAGTGTGATATAATATTACGCTTATGGTCTTCTATAATATCCATATTCATAGCGTGTATCAAAGACAGGTTATTAGTACCTTTTCAGCAGGTTTCCTCAATAAATTTTGTCGTTTTAGCCACTATTGATTTATCTGTTAACAATTTTATATGTCTTTCGTTGCCATCATCAAAGCCATCAATTTTAGCTCAATAATCATCATAGTAATCAACATCCACTTGATACGCATGCTCGGGTCTATTAATAATACTTTATTGACCAGTAGCCTGGGTGGTCTAATTTATTTTTATATGCCTACTGCTTATATGGGATGACTAATTTGCTCTCACACGATCTAGATGACCTAGTTTGTAATTTTTGAAACATCTGTTTTTAATATCGTTATCGAGACCTTGTTTTATGATATTAATTTTATTTATTACAGCATGTTTGATATAACTGTTAATTTATAGTGATCACCTCATGTTTGCACTTTCGATATGGGTGGTGTTCAATTACTTTATTCAGACGTTGATTGGAATATATTGGTTAGGATTACAGACTGCCCGCAATAGCTCTAATTAAATTATCGCAACTGTTTCTGACTTTTTTATAATTTGTCAAAGATATGAGATAATATTTCTTAAATTTCATTGTTTGTCCATCAAATAATCTAAAAATCCGGTTTCTACCGTTGAAATTTTTCTTAATCTATATCCCACACAGCATGGGATCGAAAAAACCATCATGGCGCCTGATTCTAATGTGTGAATCACATTGTAAATAGGTCAATGCCGAATAATTAATAGACACAACAAGAAGTTGAACAAACATTCAGAACGCGCTGAAAGAAAACATCAGCGTATTACACAATCAAGCATTCTTACCTCTATATAGTAAAAGTTAACGATTTTATAAAAAATAAACGACATTGCATTGTAAAAAGCTAATGGAAAAATTATGTGTTTCCTTAATGGCAAACATTTGCCCATGCACTCACTAATAGAATTATTTTACGAAATCAACAAATAACAATACATGACATAAGATATCTATAAAAATCCATCAAACATTGCTAAATCAAGAAGCGAACTCCCAAACGGACAATCGCAATTTTCAATAATAAAAGTGGGTCGTTCTATAAAATTATGCTGCGCGTGAGTCGACCATTCTTAAGAGGCCCAAGGTCGCTGGAAATGTTCCAGATTCTTTTTTTCATTTTGATCTTTGTACTATGGTGAACATATTTGAAGGGCTTAATTTATTTATGATCGTTCTCGGCTAACGTATAAAGTGGATTGAACTACATTCGGTTTATGAAGTCAGTTGCAATGTAACGTTATCGAGTTTGAGATGGGCTAATTCTGTTTGTCTGTTCTTGTTACTTTGTTTATGATTTTCATTTGTAATGAGGTCTTGTAGCACCTACATTTTCAGGTTTAGCATTATTATTTGGGACGTCTATTTAGGTAATAAAGGCAAGGATTCTCTCGCACCATTCCTAAATTGACTTTCTATTGACGAAGAAAGATCTTCCTCCCTCTTTTTGAAAAAAATCTTAGCTACTAAATCTGTATTACTCCACCACTTCCATTCTCACAATTTCCCAACATCGCCTGGAGACTTAAATTACACTATTCCACTCAGGAAAGCATCCTTTTGTCCGTGCCTTTGGAAAGCAGTCAGTGTTTCCGCCAGTGCGTAGGTGAAAGTGCCGGCAAATTGCCCCTGGAGCATTATCCAGAGGTGCGTATGATGTTATTCGATTTTGATAGCCCTATTATGAACGAGTTTTCGGTACTAATGGTTCTGAGCGTTGATTTGAGATGTTCTTCCGTGATTGTTGCAAATTTTCTCTAACTTCCGTGTTTTGTTTGATTTGAATTGTTGATGATTGTTGCATTCAAAAGTTAATTTGATCTAGTAGTTGGAACAGGACTGACAGAAAATTGTGCTAAACCGCTTTTGTAGTACCAGTACATTACTTGTAGAAGATAAACATGTTCCTTTTGATGACGTAACTGAACTGCCTTTTACTACCCTTTCATTCAAAAATAGCCATTATGTCATAAAACATTTAAATAAACGATAACCAAATGATCTTTGAATCTATTACGGAACAGTTCACAACCTCAGAGCAACATGACCAATTTGAATATTTAACTTCATCCTTAAGCAAATAATTTCTCCCGAGTGACACCAGTTGACCTAAGCCTTTCGGAAACAGTGTTTATATATGATTGATGAACATGCAATACTGTTATCTAACTAATGTAATGACAGTTCGACATATACATGACATGGTGGAGGAAGTAATACGTGTAGTGATCGATCACATTCGGAAAGCCATGTGTGATGTAAAAATGGGTAATATTACGCATGGATAAGTTTAGAACATAGTTCATCTAGTGCATATTCTGATATCTTAAATAATGAATGTAATACATAATAATAGTAATAAAAGCTGCAGAATAATAGAAATAAATTCTAAAATGAGACTGAGGCTACCAAAGAGGTACCTCTGTTTAGATCCTGAATATCCAAACAATTATGATTACGTCTTCAAAACAAAACCACAAACCAATAAAAATAAAAATTCATCATTAATTCTGCCAAATTGCCGAACGTTTCTTTTATCTCTTATATCGGATTACGAAACTTTACAATCCATGACCCTTGGGGCCAATCTACCATTAGAATCAATTTTGTTCAGCTTGTTCTACGATTCACGTTCGAACTCTAACAGGCGTATTAAAATATCGTAATTCCACCTCATTAACGTCTAAAAGCTTTTGACGGTTCTGACATCATATTAATCTCTGCTTCAGCTATCGTTCACTTTCTCTGGAAATTCACTCAGTACACCACTATTTGTTAAAACACGGCCGTTGATTGATTGCTAATCTTAGATTGATTATCTCGTGTCACTGTTTAAAATAACCCCGTATACTTTTCTCTCATATCAGTCTTGTTCATTTTGTTTTCAATTAATTTCTCGTCAGGAACGCTATTGTATTGGGAATCAGAGAAAAGCCGTCCAATTGCTACTGTCTTTTGTTTTGTTGTATAGAGTTCTCTAGACATATGAATTAATGGTTCCTGTTTTATTCTATTATCAATCGAATGTTCTCGATCATATTTATATTTAAATATGACTAAATTATCATCCAAAACCATCTTCATATCAGCTTTAATTACTTATAATTACGTTTCGCTCACAAAAACCATTGCGTTGATATTATCGTACTTTTTCTAGCCATCATTAGCAATGCGTAACTTATTAACTTTTATAACTTTCCATGATTCTACGCCATGTTTTTATAAAACGTGTGCTCTCACTATGTATGGTACAAAAAACACGTGTTTTATTTCATAACTTTCTTTTGCTTTATACGTAAGCTGTTAGTAACAATAAATTCTTTATGTAACTAACGTAATGCTATCTCTTATTTTCAGTTTCTGTTCCATTTCTGATATGTACATGTAAAAGATATTTAATTTCTATACGCCTCTTAGTTAACACTGTCAAAAGCCTTTGTTAGGTCTATAATCCTCGATGTATGAAATAATTCTTCTAGGCTATTTTAAGTGTGGGAGAGCCATGCTTCGGCACGAATGGGCCGGCTCGACCGGAGTGATATCACGGCCTCACAGTAAACCGACGTTAAACAACGCTTGCGTTGTGTTTCGTGTTAGTGAGGTTACCGGAGGCCCAATTACCCCTCTCCCTAGTCCCCGTTTCCCGAATCCCCGAATCCTCCACAGTCCTCAAATTCCCAATCCCCAAAAGGCCGGTAACGCACTTGTAACGCCTTGGTGTTTCGAGCATCCATGGGCGGCGCCGATTGCTTACCATCAGGTGATACGTCTCGCGCTCGTTTACCGGCTTATAATATAAAAAAATGCTTTAGCAAATTCTATCGTTAACACAATTAGACATTAGACCCCTTAAACGGAGTTTCTCATTACAGGATTATGGCTGTCAATCCTTTAAACCATTTTAGTACCAGTAAATCTTATATACCTACTGATTACTGATTGCCAAGGTTTCTAGCGTAAATTTAAACCAGTACTCTTATATTTAATGCTTTTGTAAAGGTCAACCATGATCGAATCGAGTGCGTTTGTGTTCATTAGCAGTTAATTTCTCATTATCTGGTTCTGATTTATCAGTATTGTTAAATGAAGATATTATTTCCTTAACAAATTCTTCATCTATCAATTCAAATCTTATTTTAGTGTCTGAATTTTGTTAAAGAAAAGTAGACTTTACTGCTTCATCCAATAAGTTGTGATTTACTTTTCACATTATAATATTTTCTGAGTAATCGTAAATCAGATGACGCCACAGAAATAAAAATAAACATTAAACTTGTTGTGTAATATCCGTAATATTAGTATTGCGTATTTACCAACATCCTTCATTAAATATTTTTATTACTGAAAGCAATTTCTCCTTAAATATGCCATTGGTATTTGTTTTTGATTCTGAAGTAGCCATAATGTTATCAATATCAACTATTATGTGTGTGGTCTTATTAATAAAGCTTCAATTATTAATATTAATTAATCCGCTTTCGTAATCATTGCATAATGATAATAATTAGTAACATTAATTGATGTAATTATATCTCGTCGCCGCAGGAGTTGTAATCCAAGTGGTCGGTAATTTTGTTTGTATAACATTTAATACTAATTAATGCAGGAATTAATGATGTTATAGTGCTTACTGCAGCTGTTCGAAAGTGATTATCGTTTTCTTTTGTAATAAAATTATATACAAATATTTTCGAAACGGCGACACTTCCCTTGTGTTTATTATTTTGCACTGCACTTAAGAATAATAAGATATTTTATTATTTACAGAGCAATAATAAACATTGGTCCTATGAAAAAACAAGACGCATTGGTACCAAATATGGCTAGCATTCTAACATTTAGGTCGAAAGACAAATAAATTGGAATATGACGTAATAAATGATGAAAATAAGAATCAAATAAACGCAAGTGACAAAACAAACGTTACATAAAAAGCAATGAAATAAGAACTATAACTTAAAAATTAAAACCCACAAATAAAACTTTCCAACAAAAATATAATATTTCATAACGTAAACAAAAGATTAGAAAGTGACAGAAGTGATTTTGTCGCAGATAAGACTAAATCTAAAGAACAATAAGATAATCAGGAAGCGTTTTGCTTTCTCGGAACAAAATTGTCACCAAGCTTTGATTTAATGGACAAGATCTTTCTCATGGACGACTGCAAGCTCAATGATTACTTGGAAAGCCTTATTGTGGAAAAAATAGAAATTAAAATCATTTGATAAGATGAAGCTAGTTCTGAAAATTGCTTTCCGATTATTAATATGAATTGTAATCTAAGGAATATACGAAACTAATTCGTATTGTTTATGTTAGTTGTTGAAAACAGTAGGAATCGTTCCAGACGTTATTTATTCTACTTTAATTTTCATTTTACACAATTAAAGTAGTACTTTAATTTTACAGTATTTTATTATTTTTAAGTCTTAACTTCAAAATCTATATCTTCCTCTTCGTCGTTTTTAACATCAATCAGCTTTTACTTATGAACTTTTCAACACAAACCAGAAACACCGATATCGATCAACTTTTAAACATCGATTTCATTCATACATATTTCAACTCCCACGCATCCATCGGTTGCACTCGTAAATTCGATTTTATTTGACACCATTAACTTCAATAAGATGTGAAAATCATATTTGCATAAGTTTTTATGAATGTTTTTGTGAAATATGACAGACTGTGAATATTATATGAGGTGAAAACTTTGTTGTAATATTTACCTCTCTGATAGATTGTAGCGAACCTAGAATGAACCACGTTAAGCTGTAGTTCTTTTGTTATTGCAGTTTCTTCGCAATATTCTTTCTTGCCTAGTAAATAATTGCCTTTAGAAACATACTTTCCTTGTAATCCATCTCATTACTTAACACTGTTTTGTCTACAAACAAGTCTACGAGTGCTACGTTAGCTTTGTTTTTCGCACTTCTGACGTCATCGACTAGTGCTGTAATTGCAATTAGCTGTACTATTCGTTCATTATCGAGATTTATTATTTCCGATGTTTCTAATTAAACTTGGTTATACTGCGTTTAGACCGTTTTATTTGACTTCTGATACGGAATCACGGTTTTAAGCAAGGAATTTGTTTTTTAAGCAAAATCTTGTTATAAAAGTAACATCTGTCGTTCGAGCCTTTTTTCTTTTCTTCCCGGCTTATGCGCAAGGTGTGATGGCACCTGCGCAAGCGGATGTTTCTGGGCCTGTTTCAAAGTATAACGTACATCATTATCCAACCATAAGTCGTTTACTATAAGGTCTTCTTTTGTTTGATAATAATGCTGGTGATTTTGTTCTGCAATTTCATCTTTAAGGGCGACTTATTCTCAATAAACGTTTCGCTGGTATTTTTATTCATTCCCTTCAAGTACTAAGGATGAATAATGACTTCATCGTGACTTTTACATGAATAATAAGTTTCTGTTGAATTTCAAATGACGTCCATTCTGTTGCTTGATGTTACTCAACAACTAATGTTTGTAGCTGTCGTGACAGATAGTTCCATTCCTCACAGATGATGAATTAAGTAATGGTAGTAAGACATATGTTAACCATTTTTATGCGTTTGATAAAGAATTTTATATCAAGACTGTACTTTTGCAAACACTGGTCGAAAAACTATGAAAAAGCAAGCTTAGACATGATAAAACCGAACACAATGAAAATAGACAACGAACGCATCGAACAACACATTCGACCGTTTCTCTCAACACGATCAATCAACTTCGTGTACATGAACCATTTGATCAGCCACTTGTTCACAGTTGCACAATCCCAGTCAATTTGTGTACAAAATTATATGTTCCACGCGTGAAATTGCTATACTTAGCATTAGGTACTTAGTACCGCTTCGGGCAAAGTGAGAATAATTCGAGTAGAAAGTGAACGATTTGGTGAGAGTAATTATCGATAAACAGACGTGTCATGGTGTGTTAGTAGTGGATTGTGAGCAATGGAGCATGTGGCTGGAAAAGTGGCAAGTCTTTAGAACTAAGTGACAGGAACTGGAGCTGAATTTGACCAACTATGCAATATTGTACTTTAAAGAAAGACTTTCTAACAGTTTTGAGAACTACCTAATTCTATGTCAAACTTTTACAGTAAGTAAAATGGCTTTTTATTTACCACAGCTGATAATGCATCCTTAATTAGACTTAAACACTTTTTCTGGGCAAAGACCCAAAAAAGTAACATGATACATCAACTCAAGAAAGTAAAGATGTTTCAAAATAATTATCTAAAGCTTAGGAGTTTCAAAGCGTGGAAGCAAAGCAGTTAATGAATATATAAAAGTACAACATCATAACTAAAGTAAAATATGTGAAAATAATGCTAATACAGCACTCACAGATATAAGTACCGTTCGTATTGATTGAAACTGGAAATTAACCGTGGACAATTCTATCCAGGAACTCAATAACATCCTATTGCAATTATTATTATTAAACTACTGCCAAGAATGGCGATAATATCCTCCTGTTAGTTATTTTGTTGTTACCTTACAAGGAGGATAGATATCCACACTTTCCCATTGGTCTGGCCATATTGATATTCAATCAAATGGAATATTAATATTATTGGCTGTCCAAGATTTGATATTAAGTTTCTAAAGCTTGTAAGAAAATGGGCGACGTGTGACTTTTTCTCATTTGCATTA